TTCGTTGGTGGGTTGACATCTATGGGAAGATATGTGTGTGCCGCTTCGATGTCCGGTGTATTCATTGGAGCTGGCCTATTCAGGAGTTCCTCGAAGTATTCTACCCATCTGTTCCACTGTTGTTGAATTTCAGTGATTGGCTTGCCTTCTTTGTCTTTGACCGGTCTCTCTGGTTTACTGTATTTCCCTGATAGTTTCTTCGTTGTATCGTAAAGCTGTTTCATATTTCCTTCCCTAGCAGCTTTTTCCGCCGTCGTTGCTAGTTCTTCCACGTATTTCTTCTTGTCGGTTCTAATGCTCTTCTTCACTTGCTTGTTTGCTTCTATGCATTCAGCTTGTGCTTGGAATTTCTCCGTGCGTATTCAGCTGTTGTTAATTGCTGTCTTGTTCTTCCTTTCTTTGATCTTGTCCAGTGTTTCTATAGAGATCCACTCCTTATGATGGTGTTTCTTTAGGCCCAGAACCTCTTGACACGTTGAAGTTAATGCTTCTTTGATGCCTTTCCAGTTGTCCTCCATAGTAGTTTCTTCTTCCTTCAGTAGATCTTTTAAGGCTTGGAACCTGTTGTTGAGAGCTATCTTGAATTCATTGAGTCTGTCAGTATCGCGAAGGAAGGCTGTATTGAACCTTTGTATTGCTGTCTGTCCAGTTATTTTTTAGCTTCAGTTTGAAATTGGCTACAACCGGGTGGTGATCTGAAGCTATGTCAGCTCCTCTCCTGGTTCTCACATCTTCCATTGTCCTTTGGAATTTTTTGTTGATGCAAATATGATCTATCTGGTTCTCTGTAGTGTGGTCCGGTGAGATTCATGTAGCCTTGTGCATACGCTTGTGTTGAAATACTGTGCCCCTTATGACCGATTTGTTGAATGCACATAGATTTGCAAATCTTTCTCCATTTCCGTTTCTCTGTCCCAGTCCATTTCGTCCCATAATATCTTCATATCCGGTGTTGTCTATTCCGACTTTGGCATTTAGATCTCCCATTAGAATGGTGAGATCCTTTCTTGGACATCTCTCTATGATTGACTGCAGCCGCTCGTAGAGTTGATCTTTAATATCGTCGTTGCTATCATTGGTGAGTGCATAACATTGAATGATATTCATTAAAATCCCCTCCTTCTTTGTTTTGAATGATGCTTTGATGATTCTGGATCCATGAGATTCCCATCCTACTTTGGACAGCATTAGAGCGACTCCCTGAGTGTCTGGAGCATTTTCCTCTTCGTGACCGGAGTATAGCAGCATCTCTCCCGTAGCTAGCCTTTTCTGTCCAGCTTGGGTCCAGTGGGTTTTGCTGATTCCCAGTACTGCCAAATTGTATCTCCTCGTTCCCGTTGCTATTTGACTGATCTTTCCGGTCTCCCACATTGTTCGGACGTTCCATGTACCTACAAAAAGTTTTGCTCTGGTTGTTAGAAGGGGCATCGGCCTCGTTGCTTCCGCAGTAACTCGGCTTTCACCATGAAGCGTCATAATTCTTCTAAATGAAGACCTTCTAACTCCCAGGGCAGAGTTAAAATGGTTTGAATTATTTTTTCTGGTAGGCGTTTTTTTTAGCGAGTTAGTTTTCTACGGGATGGGGACGCTAACCCCATGCTCAACCTTCCTCCTTTACCTGGGCTTGGGACTGGCAGTAACTCTAGAAGAGCTACAGGCGGAGTTATATAATAAGTTAGTGGTGCACAATTTGAAGGCCAAGGAACGTATAGAACATGTTAATTAAACGAAATAGGATCTGAAAATTAGTTCTCATCTCGAAATGATATTACGCGAAGAAGGACTACAGCCAGTTTTCGGCGAAGAATTGTTTCCCATTAATTTGGAACTTCTCAGTGGTATACACTTAAAACTTTTAACACTCACTGAAACCACAACGTCACCTTAGATATGGATTTTCAATTCCACCTAGTTTGTGATACAGCAAGACTTCAGTTATACCTAACTACCTCACTCCTTAGCTAGTTGAATTGTGAAATCCATTGTTTCTCGGGCTGATCACTCCCTTAAATATTGTCAAAATTCTTCACAAACCAACCGCCCGAAAAAAATTAAATTGATTTTTATTCTTAAAGCAATTCATATGTAAACAGCAAGAGTGATTTACTAAACAAAGTGTTGTCTATTAGAAAATGCCATGAAATGACACACTGTATTTCAAAAGGAAAATGTTCATACTAGTATGTCGGCGCACCCAGTTAATCATTTACTAGTTGTGAGTAGTTTTCCAATATGTCCTAATGGGAAGAAACACATTTTTCTAACTAATGAATTATACTCACTTGTAATACCAGTTCAGATACTTTAATCCATCAATCAATTCATAAAACTTGATGTTGATTTAGTGAGTAAAATACAAGTAAAGTAATCTTTCCTAAGTGTGAATACAAAGTGAACCGAGGATGCTTCCTAAACTACGAAAAATACGTCAAGAATTGTTGTAATAAGTATTATGTTAATCAGAGAACGCAACGACAAACGAAAAAAGTCAAACATCATATATATGATAAATTTCAGCACCGACTCAAAAGAATACATAGAACAAAATGGCTATTTCCACATTTACGTCTACATAAATGCCAGTTAAATGCCACAATATAACTTTACTAACATAAGTGCATATAGACAGCTTCAGATATGAGTTCAATCGGGAAAACGTCGAAGAACTGGAGAGAGAAAAGACAAGGAAAACCGAGGGATTCTTGAAAACCTGGCACTCTACTCAATCAATCAACTAATTAGATATATCTAGATCGATTCAATTGAATAAAGATCAACAATCTCAATTTTGGAGGCCATGTTAAGAGAGAAAACAATCAAAATAAACACGCAAACAACGACCATACAATTGTGAACAGCAACCAATCGAATGTCAGGTTCAAAGGACAGGCTGTTATTCAATGGTTAAGAGATTCTAATACTGCACTTTTCTTTAATGTACGTGCCGATGATGTTACCCAGAAAGACAATGAAAGTTTTACAATTAAATCATCCAACTTAGACAACACAACACCAGCCAAGTAAAAATCATGCAAGGGTACAATGAAAAGTCCCTTATTTTTCACACTATCTACGTTTTAAGCAAAGCAGTTTTGCTTACTGAAAATCCCATCAAACCTTATGATTTACATCAATTTGTGTCAGAATTCCTTAATTCAGTTTTAAAGTCTACTATTCATGTTCGAAAGTTTGTTATCTGACTATTGATAACAAGCTTAATGACCTTAAGCTGAACGCGGTCACCTGTCAGTTTTACAGTTTCATTTTCATTCTAAGGTGACTCGTGTCACAGTTAAGTAATACTGTATAATTTTCAATATTTATTCAACCACTAGAAACTTATGTTCAAAATTGCCATAAAAAATTATCTTTAATTCCTTTAGATATTGAATTCACACTAAACACACAACATTAGATAAATAAATAAATCACATAAGTGATTAATTATAAACCCGTTTGCTTTCTGTCTATTTGTACATTTTTAACTTAATATTTACTTTATAAAACCTTTGGGATTCACAGTTGATATTGTTACCCATATTAGTATTGTAGGCAAATCTGCTGAATATCAAGAAGCTAAAAATATCGGCAAAGGAAAACTAACATTTCAAAAAAAAAAATAACAGAATTCATGATTAGTTTATCCTATTTCCCATAACTAAGTTTTTCACTATGTAAATTATTAACTACATCTATAAATATTTCGAAGTTTATTAAATGACATAATTGACGAACTGATATTATGTACACATAAGTGACTATCTTAAAGATAGAATTCCCAATATTCTAATAGAAAACTATTCTTTGTGAAACTGATGAAGTTAGAAGACAATAATGTGTTGATATCAATGGAGAAAAAGAGTAATGGATCTTAAATTAACTAAAATTAAGAATTTAATCGACTGGATTCAAATTTTTTAACTTAAAAGTAATGCACATACTGTAAGAACTGTGAGTCTTGATTTCGATTCCTTGCAGGATTCTGAACATGTACTATTATAGGGTCTTAAACTATGGCAAAACAAAGTTTCTTAATGGTTCCTCAACTAATCTTCTTCCAGAATTAATAATACCCTCAAATAATTAGGATAAGCGGGAATCGAAAATAATGGAATATATATAAATTTTTATTCCTACAGTTATATAAGACAATGTAGTCAGATTTCAAAAAATTGAGGATGCTGAACATTAATCACATAATAGCTACTACATTTAATAATAAAATTTGCACTAATTTAAATGAAATTAACAATTATGCATCAATAACCTCAGGTATACTGATAAAACTTCAAATCTATCTTGTGATGTTTAATGTTATTAAGAATTCATTCTGTAACTTTTAAATACTGTCATTTTGTGGTGCTCAGTACTATCTGAAATCCATAAATAAGGTATTGTAAGTACAAAACTAATGACTATTAATTATCTGGATTCGGCGGTTTTGTAAATAAAGTGTTAACATTTGAAGAGATAAGTAATAGATTCAGTTATCAGTGTTAACATTAAAACAATAACGCCGGTACAGCAAGAAGACGAATCCCAGATAAGACAAAATATGCATTCTACATTCTACTGCTAGTCACAATCCGACTGTAATGAAATCTCTGTAAACACGTTTAGAGTTTAGCTGATTCTAAAAAGCTGCTACCGTTCAAGGATTTATTTTGCTAACAATAAGTTCATTGTTCAATGAAAGCAACATTTATTTATTCACATTTACAAATAAATATCTGATTGTCTTTCATGTAGATTGTTGGTAAATGTGGTTGGGGTGGAGTTTTCGTCATTATTCAAGTACATGAAGTAAATATTAATCATAATATCCATCAGTGAGTTTTTCCAAGTCATTGTTCGATGAAATTTCATTTTAAAACATAAATATAGAAAGTATTCAAACAGCAAAACTACAAAAAGTCTAAATCCCTTTGCGCAACGTTTTGGCACTTGAAATTTTTAACATCACGAAATAAACGCTAACCTCTATATTATTTTTCTCTTAGATTCTATCATGTCACCCTGTAGAAGCTACAATGAGAACCTTAATATGATTGGATCAAATTCGAATCTTCGTCTTTGTTCATCTGCCCCATCACCACTTAAAAGAAAACCGTATCAAGTTTCTTTCAATCTTGATAGAAATACCTACATCGAATATCCTTACTCAGAATCCTCAACTTCATTAGTGCAATGCAAGCGTGTACCAGGTTATATAAGTTCAAGTGGAGCTACTCCAGGAGAAACGAATGTAAACTTCAAAACATCACCAAAATATCCATTCAGTTGGAGCAATGAAAATGGGGTAACAACAATTGGAAAAGTTATAAATGGCTATGATAATGAATATTCCAAGCAAATTAATTATTCACCTCGTTTGTACACTTCATGGCCTATCAGGCCAAAGTATAATCGTTATTCACCACCTCCTCCACAACCAACTTTAAACCATGATGGGGATAACATTAATTTTAATTGTAGTACAACTGATCAAACCGCCATTATAGATCCTTTTACATCTAATAGTAATACTGCACACAAACCAGAAATCCGTTTTATCGACACAACTTTAAGTTCACCAGGGAATTGTAATTTAAACAGCAATAATAATTTAAATACGAATAAACCACCAGTCTTTGGAAGATCTCTGAATAGTTTAAAATTGCTTTTGTCAAAATCTACACATCGTTTCGATGCAAATAGTAATAACAATAGTAATACTAATCCAAATGGCGGTAAGTCATTATTTAAACAAATCGAACAATATGATTCAACCAATCCAAGACATAGTTCAGCAATTGATATCTTGAATCAAAGATCATCATTTTGTTCGTAATTCTTCGTATCATTTATTTCTATAAAGTTTTTTTTTAATTAAATAAAGTCGATTCTATCAAAATTACAACACGAATATAGAGAATTAAGTCGTACGTTGTTTTCGTTATCGTTCAGAACATTATTATTATTTAAATACGAGTGAATGTATACATTTATTCATGCGATAAACTCATACTTTATTAAAGCTATTGATTTTTGTTTTAACTATAACTATGTTTTGTGGGATAGGTAAAGAGGTGACAGGACTAATTAAATTACTTATTTCTTTACTGAATCAAATTTACAAACATCATAATGCTTTTAAATATACGTGCTGTACATTCCGAATAATGTTTATTTTGATAGTTGATGCTCTTTGGTGATTTCATTTTGTTTTTATTTTCCGTGTTCCGTTTAAAAACATATTATGTTAATCTTATTTTATGAAATATTTATGACTATAAATGAAAGTAGTTTTTCAGATGATGATGACTCATACTTCTAAATTTGAAATTGGTGATACGTTTACATTCTAAGTACTTGTCAACATTCACTATATAAGTACCATTTATACTTGTATTCTTGTTATTTACAAACATAGGTGCTTTTTAGACTTTTCATAAAACTAAGATAATACTGACTATAAACTAGTAGTAAGATCTTATTTTACATAAATTGGTAGTTTCAATGTGATGCAAGACGTCATCAGTACAACTTTACGAATAAATGCAGTGACCAGATTTCGCGTAAATATTAATATGTAGTACTTCTTCACGAATCAAACTCGACTGGTCGACATTCAGTCATCCTGTGTTTTAGAATGACTTGCTATAATGTTGCAAGTAATGTGCTGAAATATTAGCAGATAAATGTCTACTCTTAACGAAATAGCTGGTGAATATGATGAAAATAAGATGTATTAAGCTATACAACCTCTTAGTTCATAAGAACGGAACCAACTGACTGTGTAGTTTAGAAATTATTGGTTCAAACCATAGAGAAAATTATTTTCTTCCGAATCCAGTTAACCACGAACATATGTTACCTGAAGAACTGAAATCTAGAGAACACATTAATACAGTTGCACTCTAGGTTAAGATTCATAAACAATGTATACACACAACCCTCAGATGCTGAAACGAACCTCTAAGTCATAATCTAAGGTTCAACATCCTTCATCTCAGACTTTTTATAGTATCTCATCGGTAAATGCTGCATTTCATGTTAAAAATGTTTGCTGTCTTCATGGTCATTATAAGCAAAGTTGTCAATAGAAATTAATTCTAAACCTACATTCTAACAGGATTGCTTAATCGCAATAGAAATTGTATGACTGATATACCTTGGAAAATATTTTCCATCCTAATATGGTAAACATATCGGAAAAAAATGACTTCTAAGTAGATGATTTATCATTTGCAGCCGAATCTTCATTCAATGATTTTACAGTAACACTAAGAATCACATCAGTATAAACTCATAGTGTTGATTTTAAGCTCATTTGTGAACAGCTGGTTGTTTGAATCTTATACAAGGTATAACCTGGAATCATTACTCTCCGTACAATTTTAAACAAAAATGTGATGACTGAAAGTATTCCCGAGACTTTGTATGTAACACTGTAGATATAGATGTAGTCTTTAGAAATTAGCAGTTTTGATTTTGAAATAAACTGCTAGATCTCAAGATTTTTCTGTTCATACAAAAATTGCCCCTAAATAATATATTTTAAAAAATGAAATATATAAACACTAAGTTTTTTATCATTTAAATAGGAATTCACATGGAATGTATAATATGATCATTTCTTTTTGATAACGTGATAGTGTTTAGAATTTTACATTGCAACAATAGGCTAAAGCATCCGAAATCCCCAGTTCTATAATGACTTTCATAACTGATTAGTTTAGCAGACGACATTTAAACTATGATCATTTTCAAAGTTATATCAAATAGATTATTGAAACGAGATCTTAATGTCGCGTACTTAAATATCTAAACAGAGTTTACGTCATGAATAAAGATCTACTACAATTCGTTTCAAAAAAAATCTCTCGTTAAGAATACATTCAGTAGTTTACACTTTGACGGCAGAAAAGCGACTTAGTTGTTTCAGCATACTACATTCTACCGCTTCATAGTGGATTCAAATCCTTTTTCAGCACCGGTTAGCCAGAAGCGTGATATTTATGCCCAACACATAAAAGACTCCGAATTCGGCAAGTCAGCTTCGAATTAGCCTATCGTGATGAGTGGGGTTAGAAAAGGTCGATCCTAAAAATCCACATCTCGCCTTGTCTCATGTTTCCTTCTCTTGCAGCCTATTCCGCCGTCATTGCTAGTTCTTCCACATATTTACGTTTGTCGGTTCTGATGCTTCTCTTCACTTGCTTGTTTACTTCCGTGTATTCAGCTGGTGCCTTGGCTTTCTCTGCTCTTGTTCGGCTGTTCTTGATTGCTGCCTTCTTGTTCATCCTTTCTTGAATCTTATCCAATGTATCAACAGTGATCCATTCCCTGTGATGGTGCTTATTGTGGCCAAGAACCTCATGACATGTTGAAGTGATTGCCTTCTTTATCCCTTTCCAGTTGCTCTTCATAGTAGTTCCTTCTCCACTAAGTAGATCGTCAAGGGCCTGGAACCTATTGCTGAGGGCTATCTTGAATTTGTTGAGTTTGTCAGTATTCCGAAGAAAAGCCGTATTAGACGTTTTTGATGTTGTCCGCCCCGTTGTCCAGTGCTTCTTAAGTTCCAATTTCATCTTGGCGACCAGCAAGTGATGATCTGATGCTATATCAGCTCCTCTCTTGGTTCTAACATCCTCCATTGTCCTCCTGAACTTTCTGTTAATGCAGATATGGCCGATTTGGTTCTGCGTAGTGTGATCTGGTGAAGTCTATGTGGTTTTGTGTACGCGTTTGTTTGGGAATATGGTGCCGCCTATGACCGGTTTGTTGAAGGCACATAGGTTTGCAAATCTTTCACCATTTCAGTTTCATTTTCCTTGAACATGTCATCCAATGACGTCTTAATATACGGTGTTGTCCATTCCAACCTTGTCATTTAGGTCTCCCATCAGGATGGTCAAGTCCTTTGTTGGGCACTTCTCGATGATTGCATGACACAACAAAGAAACTCGCTGGAAATTATCGTAAATTAGAAAGACCAGTGAAAAGCAAGGAGGGCAAAGTAATCACAAACATCGAAGAATAGCGGAACAGGTGGGTAGAAAACTTTAAAGAACTATTGCATCGACCAGCTCCACTGAACCTACCCAACATCGAAGTAGCACCCACAGGCCTCCCAATCGATGTTGGCCCACCAAAAATTGAAGAGATCAGCATGGTCATCATACAAATCAAGAGCGGAAAAGCAGCAGGACCAGACAACATTCCAGCAGAGTCACTGAAAACAGATGTAGCAGTAAGAAGTACCAACAGACTGGAAAGAAGGACACCTGATGAAGATATCAAAAAAGGCGATCTCACCAAAGTGTGAGATCTACAGAGGGACTAGTCTCCTCTCAATACCAGGAAAAGTCTTCGACAGAGTATTGTTAAACAGAATGAAGGACTCCGTAGATGCCCGACTTCGAGACTAACAGGCTAATTCCGTAAGGATTAATCGTGTACAGACCAAATCGCAACTCTACGGATCATTGTGGAACAATCAATTGAGTGGAACTCATCACTCTACATCAACCTCATTGACTACGACAAAACAACACTATGGAAGCATCTTCGACACTACGGCATACCTGAGAAGATAGTCGAAATCATACGGAATTCCTATGATGGATCAAACTGCAAAATCGTGCATGGGTGACAATTGACAGATTCGTTCAAGGTAAAAACCGGTGTCAGGCGAGGTTGGGCAGCATCACTGATAAACAGGGTGGATCTGGTGCAGATGTGAAGGCGTGGATCGGCAAAGCAAAATCAGCATATTTACAACTAAGGAACATTTGGAACTCAAAGCAACTGTCAACCAACACCAAGGTCAGGATTTTCAATACACATTTCAAGACAGTTCTACTGTATGTTGGGGAAACTTGGAGTACTACGTAAGCCATCATCCAGAAAATACAGGTGTTTATTAACAGTTGTCGACGCAAAATACTTCAGATCCGTTGGCCGAACACTATTAGCAACAACCTACTGTGGGAGAGAACAAACCAGATCCCAGCGGAAGAAGAAGCGCTAATAGTGGATGTAAACACATGGAAGAAAGCACCCAACCACGTCACAAGGCAAGCCCTCACATGGAATCCTCAAGGCTAAAGTAAAAGAGGAAGATGAAAGAACACATTACGTTGAGAAATGCAGACAGATATGAGAATGATTTGGATAGAACTGGAAAGGAAGGCCCAGGACAGAGTGGGTTGGAGAATGCTAGTCGGCGGCCTATGCTCCATTGGGAGTAACAGGCGTAAGTAAGCCTTACCCCACGGGTATCCGTTTCCCGTGTTAGTCCTAACAAGTACGTAGCTGTGACATTAGTTACAGAGAGGTCGTGTTTGACCGATACCAAGCAGTTTTCCCTTGGGCACTGAGGTCACGCACTCAGGTCAATAAGACTACCTTTAATCCAATTCCCTTTACAGGTACCTCTAGAAGAACCCTTCCGCGGTGTAGGCAATCGGGAAGTGATAACTACTCTCATACCCCTAACAGCACTCAAGATCACTGCATCCATAATCAATTTCCCTATTTGATTCCTATTACCCCTCGTACCTCGACTATCAACTCTAAAGGTTTTCCTCTGACTTTCTCCCCAAGTGTCGCGATAGCCAGAATTCTAACGCGCGAAATTGTCCCAGTCAGTCAGTAAAAACGTAGAACTTCGTACTTACGTACATCAGTTCAGGTTGCCATAAAACATTAACCTAGAGATGCAGTTGTCGATTTAAATCCCGTAGTGGTAAAGGTACTAAAAGTATAAGCAGTAGTCAGAAACATTAAGATTTGAAGATTATTTATTTATTTATTTGAACACATAAATATTGGTACAAGAGTGCGCCAAATATATATGCGCCACACAAAACAATGAGAATTTAAAGAGAAGGAAAAAGAAGGTAAGGAGTGTTAAAAAAAGAGAACAGTAACAAAGAGATTGGTGTAAGGTAGTGTAATAATAGTAATAATGGGGTAACGGAAAGGTACAATCAGAAGAAATCTTTCAGTTAAGGGAGACACAACCACTTTTTGCGAGGAAAGTAAAAGAAGGTTACAGCAGGATCGCCACTGGCTTCTATTCTGAGCCATATCTGACAACGTCTCTAGCCACTGTGTAGCACCATCTCTCGGACCCCAACCAGGGAGTCGTGAAGGACCGACAGAAGCCAGTCCTTTGCAGCTTTCTTTCATACCACGACACCATGTCATGCACTGACCACCTCTCCGCTTCTTCCAACCAGTCCCAGAGTCGGCAAATAATGCACGACGTGGAATTCTCTGGGACGACATTCGGAGAACATGTCGAAGCCACCGAAGTCGGTGTTTCAAGTTGGTGACATCGATTGCATTATCATTTCTGTGCCCGAACACACGATGCCGAACCTCTGCATTACTGATATGGTGTTGGCACTGGATGTCAGCAATCCTTCGGAGACAACGATGATCAAACACAGAGAGTCGTCTAACGTCCTCAACTCGGAGAGGCCAGGTTTCACAAGCACAGAGCAAAACTGCTCTCACCGACGCGTTGTAGGTCCGACCTTTTACAGCCAGACTAACATCACGAAGGCGCCAAAGATGGCCCAGATTGGCATAAGCCGCTCTCGGACCCCAACCAGGGAATCGTGCCCCCAAATGCCCTGGTATGGCCGAGAGTGGGGAGAGTCCACACTCCCCCTCGAAATACTCTCACACGGCCGCGCGTATACAGCCTCTGCCAGGGATGTCCTACTCATTGCCTGCTCGTGGTGAGGATGTTGTTTACGAAAATGAGAGGACGAAAAGCGAATGTACGGTGCTTTAACCCGACCCCAAACCAATGGTGCACATGGGCTCCAGTATCCTGCGGGAACAAATGGCGTATGAACCAATCGTTGGTCACGGGCTACCATCGGACTGCATCTCCTTACGATGCTCCATTGCCTTGTTAGACCTTTAAGTCAAAGGCTCGAGGTGTGGCCCCCTAAGATAACCACCTGCTTCGGTCTGGGCACCCGGGCAGTACCACAGCCCACACACAAATATGAACTGCCTATAATTATGGAAGATTTGAAGATGACATTCAATGAGTATAATCCAGTGAAATAAATTTGGAAAGAGGAAAAAGAGAAGAGGAATCAGGAAATTAGAATTTGGGAGAACACAAAGAATGTATGCACCCGCGCCATCGCAAACGATTTTGAGAAATGTCATTCAAGGTCTCTAAACATCAGTTGCTATCATCTCGCGGTCCCCAACCAGGTAGTCTACACCTACCAGCATGGCTCAGTCCACTTGTCAGTGACTTCATGGACTTGTGCCATGTTTTGGTCTGACCGACCCTAGCTTTCTTCCAACCTACTCCTATACCACTGAACATCGCACATCGGCGTAGTCGGTGGTTGGGCATACGTAGCTTATGGTCCAGCTATCTTAAATGATGATGTTCCACTACTTCATCAATTGATTTGCCATCCTTACTTGGTACACGTTTCCTAACAACTGCATTACTTACTCGGTCCCAGGATTTACGAGCGATGCTTCGAAGACACCTATAATCGGATACTGGTAACCTGTGGACATCCTCTGCTCTTACCGGCCATATTTCACAGCCATGAAGTAGGATGGAACAAACTGATGCACAGTGAACTCGTCCTTTGGTCGGTAGACCAGTCAGATGAGATTACGTTCAGTCCCCAGATTCTACCTAAAACCTCAGTCAATCTCAATGCTAATACTGGACCGCCATCCTTAAAAATCTCAGGGGTAAACCTGTCAGAGCCTACTGCTCTTCCAGACTTCAGATTCCCTACAGCCTTTTCAACTTCGTAAAGAGTTGGAGGACTTACATTAACTTGCCATTCAGGTCGACTGGAGATCGTGGGAAACCGAAGTGTGGCTGAGCGCCAGTTGGACTGTCCCAGGTCTAATGAAACCTTGCTACAAACTACACATTAAAGCCTTCAACATACGTATCCTATGTCAAATCGGCCAGTGAATGTGTGACTGGGAATACGCTGAATAGTGAAAAAGCACCAGCTTAAACTTAATATTTCCGCAAAATATTGTGATGAAATACGGATTCTCTGACTAAGAGTAATGCACACACATTAATCTTACTAAACAAGTGGCGGCTTTTATGAATCAGAAACCCGACGTTTAAAGTAATGGATCATTATCTCATTAAGAACTTAAATGTAAAATCACAGGTGCACACATCTGACGAGTTTCAAATAAGGGGCAATGGGCGTTTTGTGTTTCACTACCAAGAACCGTCAAAAAATTATAGAACAGTATGTTCAATTCACCCCTGTAAACTTTTTAGACGTGATAATAATTATGGAAAATACAAGTAAACACGGTTTATCAAACAAATAAGCATACAACTGATTGGTCATGTAACTGTTTTACTCAATGTTCATAACGGTTTGATCTAAGTAATTAGGTGACGATCTTGCGATTAATTACATTTCAACAATTATAACAACAAAAGTCAAGCTTTACAAAAAATGATGAGTTCATAGTTTACAAAATATGGGCATCACGATGTATAATATACAATAACAAATACGAAAATTTGTTGCAATGGCTAGTATCGTGAATGGTGTTTTTTATGTTTGCTTTTTCTCTCTTTGTGCTTTTTGTGGTGCTTTCTGGATGACTTACTTGGTCCTAAATGATCTTTCCGTTTGGGTTTCCCCCGGGAATTTACCGATAATGATGAGGAATCAGACTCATCTGAAATTACCAAATCATATTCCTCACCTAATACAGATGGAGATCTGCGTCTTATGGGACTATGTTTCTTTTTCTTATTTTCATGGTTATGAGAATGCTGGGGGTAATTTCTTCTACTATTTCGTTCTGGTGATCTAGGTAAACAAGCTTGTTTTATGTATCGTGATTTTTTTGACTCAGAAGGTTGGACACGTGCAAGTTTATCTTTTCTGTAAGACTGCCATTCACGAGCAACCGACTGACTGAAATCCACATGGATACGTCTATCATCAATAACGACTTTGTCCATTTTGAAATAGGCATCTTCACAATCAGCTTCTTTCTCATATTCTATGAAAGCATACTGAAGAGAAGCACCAGTACGTTTATCTCTAATTACTTCACATGATTTGATCTCACCAAACCGACTGAAGATGATCTCCAAATCCTCGCTTGTGGTTACGGGATTAAGTTTACACACAAAAAGTACATTATTTGGAGGTTTAACATTAGCATCTGGCAAATCGCCTATCAATGTAAGAAGCTGAGTATGAGTTCTAACTTCTTGCTCTATCTTCAGTTCCTCCACTTGTGTAGGTGAAAGTCCTTCCGTATCATCCAGTTCTTCATCCTCTTCTAATCTAGTGTCAAACTATTAATAATGAAAAGATACAGAACTGAATACCATAAGCAAACTGAAAGAATCAAGATCAATAAACGAAATTACTCATGAAACATATATATATAATCCTAAGTAAGCCGAGCATCAGTAAAACGCTGAAAGATATAGTGACACTAAATAACAAGCCTTATGACTGAAATTACATGGCCTTACACGCACTTTTGAATGTCAGTTGTAAAACAGTAAATGAGTATGCAGTTCTTAAGCTAAAAATGGTTTACGAAAAATAAGGCTTATTTAGTACAGAAAACAGGGTTTAATAGGCGATCACGCTACCGGTTGACGAATAAAACTTATCGAATTGGTGTGAATTGAAATGACAAGTGGTAAATGCAAAATCTTAACATTAGGTTTTGAATGTTGCACAATTCCAAATGCAGATGATTACTCATTTATTCAACCCAAGATTATGTTAAGTTGTAGAAACCACAAATAAAACTAATCGACACGGGTGGTAATTGCGATATATTAAAATCGTATGTACATGAAGATAACCGATGTTTACTAAATAGAACGTTCCTATTAAAATCTGTTCTTTATAGAGTACATTATTAGCTTCGACCAAATTTCATGATACTATTGAGAGTTATGAACAATCACCAAAAACGCACACAATCCTACCAGTTTGAAACCACGTCATCGACAGAAACCAATTGGTGACAAGACACGAAATGCACACTATACAGGTGTCAAATCGTCATTTGAATGAGCATACTCAATTTGAACACCACAATCAGCCTAGAAACAGAGAAACACTCGGAGACCATAAACATATCAACGAACTCGATAGTGTATTATACCTATAACTAATATTCTATTTAAATTAAAATAGTTGTAGGGGGGTTCATGTACCTGTTATTTTTCGTCGAAAAAATGAAATATTAATGACTATAAATGACCGAAAAATAACCTGTATAATTTTGCTTACTGTAGAGACGTTTATTGAGGGGGGAGAGTCAGGATAACGAATCATTTTCGGTGAATCAAATGGGTCATCAAGAACAATTGTATGATGTATCCTGACATTTCGGAAAGGCCGACCATTTTTGTCACAGTACACCTCATTTATCCTTTCAACGAAGTCCATTCCCTCAGCAATCTGCAGATTAAAGTTTTGACAGTTTCAACACAAACGTACATAGCCGAAAACTGTATGCGTGTTATCCAGGTAACTAAGATCATCTCCCAAAGTTATGAAGAATTGAGAACCATGCTGTCCAGATCCATTGTCCACCATGGAAACCAGCCCTTTTCGTGTATGTGATATTTTTGGCTTTTTCTCAGCATCAAAATACCTTGCCTGGTCACCATACAAGTACTTGAAAAAAGACCAACCACCATGACCTGTTCCGCTAGGATCCCCAGACTGAGCAACCAAATTTTTCTGTACACAGTGAAAAAGACAAAAGTTGAAGTGCTTCAGTTTGCAGAGTTTGATAAAGTTTGTACATGTTCGCGGCTTTTCATCACAATACAGATCAACCACAAGTTGGCCAAGAGAAGTTTCTAATAGAACCGCCATCTCCAAAGTCCCGCCAAGGTTAGTCGTCAATTATAAAGTCAGAAAGTTGATAGAACTGTGTTAGTCCTTGCAGTTTGATTTTCAGTGAAGGTCCGGATTCATCTTAAAGATTTTTTCTGGTGATGCTAATACCACTTGATTAAGTTAAGTCATTGGACTCTAAACGAGAAAAACGGAACCCCACTCTGAGTTTACTAGATCGTCGTTTCGAACCCACGTGATATATCTCCTGAGATTATTAGTTCTAGAGGGAGAAAAATACAAGACATAATAACACCCGATCCATTATTAAAGATTTGAGATGTTGGTATAAAGTCACATAGCACTCCAAAAAACGACTAGAGGATCTTATCCGCAAAGCAACCATGTAAACTTAATGTATCGGTCATCTGTTCGTTCAAGTAACCACAGATTTTGCCATTTCATAATGTATTTTTAATTAAATAACTAGATTATATAGCTAATTTTGATCTTTTTTATAATATCCATGAACTAAAGGTAAATCACAAATTCTTTGCTAAAAAACATGTAATTTGGTTATTTATCTATTCCACATTTCTGACTAAATTCATTACCATTTTCTCATTTAGAATGCAACAGGACTGAGTCTTCACAGATCCTAAGAACTGTTTAGACCTTAGAACTATGGCCCTATGGATCTGTTTACGGGAGACATAACTAACAGCAGATTATAAAAAGGATGCTGGATGTCCATCTTAGTCTCACGACCACTTCCAGTACTTTTTGAGTTACTTCTTTTACCCTTTCGTTTGGAAAAAAAACAACAAAAGCTTGAGCTTAACATTACGAATGCAACTTTTAGACTGGAACTTGGTTTAAACCTTTGTTTCATATTCGATTCTTAATGAAAGTTCTCGAGTAAATTTTTGAATGTAATGCTACTTTGTTTTATCTACTTAATCGTTGCGACGAACTTGTGATAAGCGAGCCTCTCATCACCTAATTCATGTGTTCAGGCTTCCGTGTCTAGTAGCAGGGGATCACGAAAACCTCCAGGCAGGAACCTAGGTATGTTAACAATAAAAGATCCAGTCGCCTCCCAAAGGACTCCTGAGAAGTCGCTTGGACTAGTTCGGAGGGCAGCGAATTCCAGCATTCGACAACTCTTAAGGAGTAGAAGTTGCGTCTACAGTCCATCCCGCTATGTCGTGTCTCTAGTTTCTGGGACTACGCTCAAATAGGTGTTTAAGAGAATGTCCAGACGTATTAAGGATCCTGTAAGTAAATAGGTCACCTCTAAGACGTCTATACTTTAATGAGTAGAGGTTAAGTGATTGGAGGCGTTCTTCATAAGTTGATTTGGTGCATATCTTCGTCATTCTCTTGGGAAACCTACAGACTCGGGTCCTTTCACAACTTATTCCAGCCACCATGAGTTGCCACGGCTTATGATGGATGGACACGCGTTACACACCTTAACCGTCTCTGCGTCTAATCTCATGACTCTACCGACACTAATGGAACACGAGTAACTCAAAGGCACCCTGTATAGTATCTTACATCAATATACGCACTCACTTAGCTCTTTAGTGAGAATATTACTACAGTCCTGCTAAAAATCCCATAAACCCTCATCTCTATGAAAAAAAGTATATATTTTCTGCATATAGCAATTTTATTTTTTAAAAGTAAGATACAACAGTTAGAATTGGAGTGAAATGGCAATATACAGCAGATGCACGTGGTAAATGTCTTCATCGATTAACTGAAATAAAAAATACGAATATTAGCTTAACAGGCTTATTTAGAAAGACTAGTGTCTACTCTGAAATTACTGCGTGAGAAAGTTATACTGGAACTACGAATAATGTAGGAATCTAGTCTCCCAGGGCGTACGAAGCAATCAAACTGGAAGGCAGTTGTCCGAAAAAATTCGAATATGAAGGTCAGAATTTCCAGGTATTTTTCATCGTAAGGGTGAAAATATTGATGTCATACAGTAAAAAAAACACAGATTTGCGAGTGGTGAAGTATGATCTATAAAAAAGTGAGCTTAATAACAGTTAATTACCTTTTTATTCTCTGATCATGACCCTTCGGCTTCCTTTTATGGCCGAAACAGAAAACATACACTACACACTGATAGATTTCCGGTTTTTCAATGTTAGTTTTCAGTCTTCAGTAATAAGGATAGTAGGTTGGTGAACCTGTATTAATCCTGACACATTGCTTTTCAGTGAAGGTCCAGCTTCTCCTTGAAAGTATTCACTGATGGGGCTGATACTTGTTCGAGTAAGGCTTGCTTTAACGCACTACGTAATGAGTACAACCCCTCTATTACTGCTATATGACATATTTTTAATAACAAACCCTCTTCAATAGATTGGTAGTATCTGTGACTTCGTCTATGGTTATCGGAAGTCTGAGTTCTTTCGAAAACAATACTAGTATCCCATACTGCTGGGCAATCAGTATTAGTTTGACTCGTTGGCGGGATAGTGTTGTCCATAATACTGAAGAAAATTACAAACCGGGGATTATTTCCTTTCAGTTTGCCGATAACATCATAAAAAACGGTTAGGAACGAACATGCGGACAGTCAGAGTCACAGGTAGCAACAACAGTTATTCTAGCTAGAGAAACGAACTTCGGCTTTGGATATCTAAAAAACAAGTCAAAACAAAACCGATTACCATTTTAAAACATAAAACTAGCCAGCTTGGCTGAAGAAATACATTGGCTTGAGTAGAAGCAGCAAAAACCATAAAAACAATGCTGATTCGAAGTAAATTTCACACCAACATGTAGAACATTACACTAACTGCGGCATTTTATCAGACCGAAACATTAAATTACATAGCTATACAAAAGAAGTAACTGAAAGAAGCAGAGAACGAAGAAAGCCTACCGCCATTACTTACAAAGATGGCGGATGTATTAATTCCCGCCTCATTCTGATTGGTTGCTAGGCTGAAGGGCACATTTACGAAATTGAGTTGCGTTTAATTGCAGCCAAATTTTTCAGATAATTATATCGCTCATCGTAAGGAAATTCGGAAAGACCCTTCATTAAGTATGTTCCCATCCTTTTAACACGCTCAAATGGGTTGGCATTCTTGACAAGACAAAGACTGGCTGCTTGGACACAATACCCTAGTAGTGTTCCTACATTAATAGGATATAAAATTCGAAACATCTCGTCAAAGCATTGAATTCCTGGCAGAGTGATCATAACGCTCTGTCAACTGCTGCATTTCAATGCGTAATTCTTTTCAAGTGAGTATTTTCTGTACCCTCTAACTCTTTGTCTCTGCACGCGTGGAAAAGATTTACCGTCAATATTATGTTGGTAAATGCTACCGCATCTAATGTGCACCAGCATACTCTATCTAGAACTAATTTCTAAGCCCGCAAATCGAGCCCAACTAACTGGCTTGTCTAGGTCAGCTTAAGAATCCAAATGTCAGCCTCAGTTCATATTGATCTCCAGATTTTGACATCATCCCCAAACAATAATGTCGATGTTTTTAACAATAGCGGCAATACATTTATATAGAGAAAGAAAAGTAAGGGACCTAAAATGGTGCCTTGAGGCACACCACATTTGACGGGCTTCCATTCGAACGGCGTCTCGTTAACCGTCTCTCTCTGTTTGCGGCCACAGAAGTTTTTTATCCATTCCTGTACAGCACCTGTAGTGAACAAGAACACGGGTGGGGACAATCGAATGTATTTAGCTCGAAAATTACAGACTATCTCAACAAAATCTGAATACCATAAAGTCAATCGTCAATTTGCAAATTATCAATACATCATATCAAACTGTACTGTTCAAGCTGCAAACACTAATCCATTGTCTCCCATTCCATTGTTCATAAGTTTTCTTACAAATTCCATTATGTTCTTGCTCCACCTTTCTTGGTCTTCGCCATCTTTTGCTGCCGAGCATTACGTTCTTTTAACGCACGTTATATACTACTTATGTCAATATAAGTAGCTCACACCACACTCGTCCCCCCCCTTTAAAGCAGTCGTTCTTGTGGTGGTTCGTGCTCGCCGTGCAACATTCTCCGTCTCTGCAGCCTGTGCCACGCTCTCCGTCAAAATGTCGAGTCTGCGGCGCGCTGACTTCCGTAGCTCCGTCGACCTGCCGGGAAAACAACAACCGACATCCACCCGGCACCTGGGACGCTTGACACCCGTACTCCACCGGCCTGCTGAGCCATCTACATTCGATGTCCGCCCAACAGCCGCGCGTCCCACCGCTCCTCTCCGCCGACAGCATCCACTACAGCCAACGCCGCCCCGCCAGAACACTCCACCAGACGCCGCCTCTCCGCACCAGACTGCCCCAACTGGCACCTCAGCCCCAGGCCCGCAACGGCGTCCGCAGAACAGCACCCTCCTCCTCTCCCGGTTGGCAGCGACACCAAATGTAGTGAACAAGAACACGGGTGGGGACAATCGAATGTATTTAGCTCGAAAATTACAGACTATCTCAACAAAATCTGAATACCATAAAGTCAATCGTCAATTTGCAAATTATCAATACATCATATCAAACTGTACTGTTCAAGCTGCAAACACTAATCCATTGTCTCCCATTCCATTGTTCATAAGTTTTCTTACAAATTCCATTATGTTCTTGCTCCACCTTTCTTGGTCTTCGCCATCTTTTGCTGCCGAGCATTACGTTCTTTTAACGCACGTTATATACTACTTATGTCAATATAAGTAGCTCACACCACACACCTATTACTCCGATGTTCGAGAGCTCCTGTATGAGACCAACGTGAGAAAGCTTACTAAATGATTTGCTGGAGTCTGTGAATATCACGTTGACAGACAAACCTTTATCTAGGGCTGCTGCCCAGTCCTTTCTCAAAATAATTGAGTTTGTTAAGCATGGATGTTGCTCAGGAGTTAACAGCCTGTATGATTCTACATGGCTTGGTAACCTAACCCGGATTATCTTTTGAAGTAACTTAACTACTATGGTAATTAAACTGACAAGTCAGTAGTCGGACACGATCTGTCTC